CTGCGTACAACATACATCTCTCTTGGGCTGGTACCACTCCTGGAATGCAGGTCTTCTTGGCAGATGCCTCACAGTTCTGGTATCTCAAACATCTTGGGGTCCACTGCCAACCAGGCTTCACCTTCACAGCTTCACACAATGGCTTATCGGGGCCTTTTTTATGCAGGAGCACCCCTGCTGCATGGTGCCTGGCCTCGGGTGGCTCTCTGGAATCTCGGAGGAAGAACTGATGATTCCTTCACTCTTGCATTTTTCGTGCCTCTAAAACCAGCACCAGGTGAATGATACTTTGAAGTTTGGCTGCAAGTTTGGGATGGACCCCAGCGCCTGCTTTATCCATTTTAGAAGCTTTTCTCTTCAGTGGTCCCTGCAGCATTTTCCTTTCACAAGTTGGAGACTTAGCTGGGTGTAATCTAGCCCTGGAGGCACTCTCTCCATTGTTTAAGTGTAAATCTCTAGGCCCCTACTTAATCACTTTAATCTCCTTATCAAAGGGGTCCTCTCTAGCATGCACCTCAGCTCCAACATTTATCTTCCTAGTGCTCTTTCTTTTTTTAAAACATTTTTTTATTTATTATTTTCATTTTATGTGTATGAATGTATTGCCTGCATGTATGTCAGTGTACCCGTGTTGTGCAATGCCACAGAGGTTAGAAGAGGGCTTCAGATTTCCCTGGAACTGGAGTTAAGGACAGTTGGTAGCTACCATGTGGGTGCTGGGAATTGAACCCGGGTCCTCTGCAAGAGCAGTCAGTGCTCTTAACTGCTGAGCCATTTCTCCAGCCCCCCTAGTGCTCTATTTCAATCCTAACTGTACATTCTGCATTTCTTTCTGCCCCATTTGCTCTTTTTCACTGTAGTTCTGCGTAATATTCACCATTAATAGCTATGCCACCATTTCTGTTAGGCTGTCTTAAAATTTCTTGGGCCGGAGAAATTAGTCCGTTGCTTTTCAACTTAGCTTCAGGCAAGCTCTTGGGCTGTGGGCAGACTCCAATCAAAACAAGACTCTTTACTAAAATATCCCAGTTGCTGTTTAAGTCTTTATTTCCCTCTGGTACCACTTTGCTCTCAGCATTACTTTCTTCTAGGCTCCAACTAGAATGGCCCATTAAGCTTTGCTTACAGCAATCAACCGCTTTTCTAGTCCAAACTTCCAAAGTGTTCTAGTTTGTGTCTCCATTGCTGTGACAAAACACTCTGACCACTACCAACTTGGGGAAGAAAGGGTTTATTTGTCTTACATCTCCCAGGTCACAGTTCATCAAGGAGCCCAAGGTAGGAACTCAGAGCAGGAACCTGGAGGCAGGAGCTAGAGCACAGGCCATGAAGGATAGCTGCTTATTGACTTGTTCCCCTGGCCCCTGCTCAGCCTGCTTTCTTATGCAACACAGGCCCACCTGCCCAGGAATGGTATCACCCACAGTGGTTTGGGCCAGGTCCTCCCACATCACCCAACAATCAAGAAGATGCCCCACAGACATGGCTGCAGGCCAGTCCTATGGAGGAAATTCCCCAATTGAGGCTCCCTCAACCCTGATGTGTCAAGTTGACACTAAAGCTGTCCAGCACACAAAGCTTTCCACATTCTTCCAAAACCCCACACGGTCAGGGTCTGCACAGCCAACATCCCACTTTCTGGTACTAATTACTGTATTAGTTGCTTTTCTGTTGCCATGATAAAAGCACTGACCAAAGCAACTTAGAGTTTACTGTTCCAAGGGGCAAGAGTCCATCACAGCGCGGAGGCATGGTGGCAGAGATGGCTGGAGAAGGAGTAGAAGCTAAGCTCTCACACATCTTTGAGATCTGGCAAGGCTTAAGAACTCCAGAAGTCTGCCCCCAGTGACGTGTTTCCTCCAGCATAGCCACACCTTCTAAGATCTCCCAAAACAGTGCCATCAACTAGGGACAAAAATGTCCAAATACTTGGAGCCTATGGGGGACATTCTCATGCAAACCATCACACCTTACAAGCCAGGAAAGCACAGGATGAAGTGTTTCAAGACCAGAAAGTAACTGACATCCAAGCTTTCTGTATCTGGCACCCCAGGAAGCTGGCATTGGGGCCAAGCGCCTGAGCTCCCAAGAGACTTGAGTACATGTGCTGGGCCATGTGAGGAACCTCATCACGCAGTCCTTTTACAGTGAGGCATGTTTCATCATGCAAGATGATTGTCTCTGTGACTATAGGTGCTTCTGTATTGATCTAAAAACTCAGGACTGGGCAAGTAAGAAAGAAAAGAACCTGGACTCCCAAATGGTGACAACATGGCTGCAGGCACCAGAGAATTTGGCACTCAGGGCAGGGACCTAAACATGACTGTGAGCCTCTGGATTTAAGAACGTTGGCATATCCATGTGGATCTCAAAATTCAGAACTCAGGACTTGGCAAGTAGGAGGAAGGATAACCAGGAAGCCAAAAATGGCTCCTGGAACCTCACAGGCCCAGCTGTCCACCCAGCTGCAGGGCTGCATTGGGCAGAGCCTAGCCTCACAAATTATAGACCAATTTCCCTGATGAACGTAGATGCAAAAATTCTCAACAGAATTCTTTCTAACAAAATTCAAGAACGCATTTAAAAGATCATACACTATGATACAGTTGGTTTTATTCCAAGGATACAAAGATGGTACACAGTATACAAATCAGTAAATGTAACAGCACATATATTTAAGGGCAGAAATTGCGAGATCATCTCGATAGATCCAGAAAGTGTTTGCCATAGTTCAGCATCTCTTCATAAGAGCCCCGAATGGAAGAAACATGCCTCACTGTAAAAGGGCTGTGTGCCATGGCTATGGCTGTACTGTTAGACTGAGTGGGGAAACCGAAAGCATTTCCTCTGAAATTGAGAATGAAACAAAGGTGTCCACTCTCTATTGTTTTTTAATATAATGCTTGAAATCTTATTTAGAGCATTAAAGCAAGAGAAAGAAAAAGGGATATAAATAAGACACAGTATCCTGTATTTCAGAGACCCCACCAAAACACTCTTACATCTGATAAACTTGGAGCAAAGTAGCAGAAGACAAATCAACATAAAAATCAGTAGCTTTTCTGGGGCTGGAGAGATGGCTCAGAGGTTAAGAGCACTGGCTGTTCTTGCAGAGGACCTGGGTTCAAGTCCCAGCACCCACATGGCAGCTAACAACTGAAACCTCAGTTCCAGGGGATCTGACGCCCTCTTCTGGCCTTCACGGGCATTGCATGACACGGATGCACACACATGCAGGCAATACACTCATAATACATAAAAAATAATTAAAATTTTAGCCGGGCATAGTAGTGCATGCCTTTAATCCCAGCACTCAGGAGGCAGAGGCAGGCGGATCTCTGTGAGTTCGAAGCCAACCTGGTCTCCGTAGTGAATCCAGGACAGCTGTGGCTACAGGGAGACCCTGTCTCAAAAAGACCAAAAAAAAAAAATTTATTTTTAAATCAATAGCTTTTCTATATACCAATAATGAATCTACTGAGAAAGAAATCGGGGTGTGGGAGATCCCATTCAGAACAACTTCAAGAAATATCTTAAGAATAACCCTAACCAAGGAGATGAATGACCTCTGCAGTGAAAACTTTGAAACCACAAAGAAATTGAAGACATTAGAAGATGAAATTACTTCCCCCTGCTCATGAATTGGCAAAATTAATATTTAAAAATGGCTTTCTCATGAAAGCAGTCCTCAGATTCACTGTGATCCCTGCTGATAACTCCGATGACATTCTTCAAAGAACAACAAAAATCCTAAAACTCATGTGGAAGGTCAAATGACCCTCGGTAGCCCCAAACCTAAACAGAAAGCCCATACAGCACAGATAACTTTTGACAAATGTGCCAAACACACATTGGAGAAAACGGCCTCTTCAACAGGTGGCGCTGGGAAAACTGGCAAGAATTCTACCAACAGGGAGCCACATCCCCAGCCTGGAAGTGTTTTCTTAAATTCATTTTTGGAGTGCTAGAATCATGTCATCTACAAGTAGCTTCTTTCCAAGCTGGGTCTGTTTATTTATTGCCCACTTGCACTGGCTAGAATTTCCATTCACAGTGAACAGGGATGATGAGGGCAGACAGTCTATCTCATTCCTGACCTTGGGGGCACCCGTCCAGCATTTCACAGTGTGTAAGGCATGGTTCCCTAAGCAGCCTGTAGCAGGCTAAGCAAGCTCCCTCCACTCCTGGCTTGAATAGCTTCGTCATGACCAAGTGCTGGGTTTTGTTCTTATTCTGGTATATAGTGCATTTATCCTGAGGTAAATACCACCTAGGTACAGGGTATGGTCCTTTTGTGTGACAACCAAACTCAGTTTACTAACATTTTGTTGGATTTTTGTACCTGCATTCATAAGAAACATTCATGTGCTGCTTTTCCTGTGGTGCTTTTGCCAGGCTTTGGTATCAGGTGATGTTGGTTATATAGTATGAGTTAGGAAGTCTCTGCCCACGTTTTTGGAAGTTTGTGAAGATGTGGTATGCTTTAAGCATTTCGCGGCATTCACCAGAGACCCTGCCTGGGCTTTTTGTGGGAAACCTGACTTCTTTCAGTCTCAGACATTAGAGGTGATTTGGTTTTTCTGTCTTGATGTTTATGTCTTCCTTAGAAGCTCTGCCTTCAGCCTCATCTGGTTGTTGCTGGTTCCCTTCTGGGCTTCTGGTTTCTTTTCTTGCAACTGAAAGCAACCTGTTTACTGTGTGTTCTCCACACAGCTTCACTGTCCTGCATAACTAGAGTCCCTAATGACACTCAGCATGAGCATCAGCCCGGAGGAGGGATCTGGGGGTGAACTGGGTTGATTTCCACTTGTCAATCTTGTGGACCATTCTCTGTAGGATGCCTACAAAGAAGGGACATGAAATTCCTTTGTTGCTTTCTTAATGGCACATGGGAAACACTGTAGGTTGTTTCTAACAAGCTGTTCTTTTCCTTTTTTGAGGCAGGATCTCCCCATAAACAAGCTGTTTTCTGTTAATAGCATCAGTGCTAATTCTTCTAGGTGTTCACCTCACATGGCCCCACAGTGATCATGCCCACCTGGTTCTGCTCTCGAGCCTGGTTTTTCCACGTTGGCCCATTTGATGAAGGAGGAAAGGTAAGTGCCAACCAGTAGGGCTTGGACTCCTTGTGGGTTCCCCTGAGTGAGGGAGGCTCCTGTCCTCTGTTGTGTGGGCTCCTGCAGGGCACCTCTGGGGCTGGGGTTCAGGAAATCCATGGGACCCACAGGTGTCTCATCTCTGCTGATTGCAGTGGATTTCAGTGAGCATGCTCTGATGCACACCTGCTCTGGCAGCTCTTGGCTTTGGGCCCAGGTTACCTCATCCTGGATTAATAGCTATTGGTGGGAAACTGCAGGTCAGAAGGTGTTGGCTGGGTTGTTTTGAGCCTGTTCCAATTGGGCCCTCGGTGGGGGGTGGAGGTGGCATCTTCACCTGTCTGTGGGAATGGGGAGCCAGGCTAGGTTGTGTCCTGCAGGGAGCTGGTCACTAGGCCTCCTAGCTATGCTGTCCTCCAGCCCCTGCCTGGCAGTGGTGAAGATTCTTATTGCCAGACAGCATCTCTGTACCTGTGAGCCTGACCCCAGCCTGGGCTGGGTATACATCAGCTTTCCTCAAATCATTTTGTATCCACCCTTCCTTTGGGGCCCAAGCTTGAATAGCTATTGGATTTCTAGTCCAAAATGCCCCCCCATGTCCTCCTCTGTTTGTGGGGGTATGATGTAGCGCAAAGGCTTGCTTCAGTATGTCAGTGTTGGTTATAGTAGAGGAGGATGCGAATCTCCACCATGGCAGGGTTTAGTCCTGCCTGGGGCCAGTGGGGCTTCACCTTGCTCCTGCCTCTTCTGCTTGCTTCCTGGTTCCTGGATTGACGTCGCCACCTTCTGCCCCTGGTGGTGAAGTGCAGTCTTGTTCCAGACTGCTCTGGTGTGGTGGGGGCACTTTTCCCTTTTCAAGCTCTGCTCCCCCATCTCTGACCCACCATCCCTCCCCGGTTCAGCATCTCACTGAGGGCATCCTTGAGTGTCAGAGTGGATTCTTTTGTTTTTTCGAGGTGAGGTATAGCTGTGATGTTCAGGATATGTGCCAGCTTCTGGGCTCAAGCAATCCTCTGAGCTCAGCCTTCCAGATAGCTGGGACCACAAGTGCTACCACACTGGGCTCCCAGCAGGCCTCCTTCCATATCATCTCACCTGGGTCAGCACACAGCATGGTAAGCACTGTCCTCTGGCTTTTGCAGGGGGTGCCAGAGGACCTGCTCTTTTTCTATGAACATCTCAGGAAGGGAGGTGGCGTCTTCCGGGTGGACCACAGCCTGCTCCTGTACCGCTACCACCTGTATGCTGCCACACACTCTGTCCTTGAGTAAGTAGGTCACATCAAGTTCTGGGAACATCTGTGAGGCCCAAGGACAAGTGAGGTGCTGGTGTGGCCAGGCCCAGATCATTCGTGAGGCTCAGAATGGTGGGACACAGGGTGTCCCACTGAGGCAGTAAGGGTGGGTTCGGATTGTACTGTGGTACCTTGGAAGGAAGTCTTTTGAGGCTGCTGGTTGCTCTGACCCCCAGGGCTCAGGAAGCACTAGGTTTTGTGAGGTAAAGGCTGTGCCTTGGGTCATCAGAAGGCTCACTGTCACTTTTCTCACTTGCTCCAACCTGGCAAGGCTCACCGTGAGGCCCAAGAGGTAGGTCTGATAGGCTGAAAAAAAAAACATGGTGGGAGGGGCTTCCACAGCTGACCCCCTTGCTTTTTTCTAGCTGGCTGGTCATCCTTGACCCTCTAAATCTGCTGATTGAAGATGTGGGACTGGGCTTGCTCACAGGGCTGCTCTGGGGCCAAGCTGAAGGGAAAGGGCACTTAGGGTAAAAGAAGGTGAACTTGCGATTCTCCAGTCTGTACTGTGTGAGACACGTGTGCCAGCCACAGGTGAGCTGTGGCTGGGAGACTATCCCTGGAAGAAATGGCCCATGGGTACCCTATGGTTGAAGAGGTAGACCTGGAGTCATGTACTTGCAGTTTGGAGGACGTGATGGCTATGCTGTTGGCCTGGATGAAACTGCCTGAGTGGGAATCCCCTCCGAGGGGTCTGACACCACCGAAGCTCTAGATCCTAGCATCCAGCTAGTGCTGGGGTCCCTGGACTGTGGACCTGTGCCAGACACAAGACTTGGCTTCTGGTGCAACAGAACCTGCCCTTGCCATGCCTGAACTTCATCACAGCTGTAGAGGTTTGTCTTGCAGGAATTGCTGTCAGGAGGCAGACACAGTGCTGGGACCCACACCCAGGAGAACATTCAGAGGACACAGAAATCCTGAAGGCCTCTGAGGCTTGAAACCCACAGAGAGGTACATCGTGAGCATGCGGACTTCACTGGTCTTCCCCATCACTGGCTGAGCAAACGCTTGGAAATCTGTGATGACTGAGAAGATTGCAGTAGCCCTGCTGGCCAGTGAGACCCAGTTGGCACACTCAGATTGTGTAGGATGTGTCATGGCCACTGTCTTAGTCCTCCAGGGTCACCCAGGCTGCTGTGACAGAGTGTCATGAGCTGGCAGGCCTTGACTGTGGACATTTGTTTCCAAAGGCTCTGAAGACTGGTCAAAGACAGTGTCTTCCCACTGTGCCTTCAAATGTTTAGACTCTAGGGTGACACTTGGTCATCTACTGAAGACCTCACATCCTCAGTCCCATCTCTTGGGGAAGATTTAACCTAGGAATTTTGGTAGGACTAAAACATGTGACCTACAGCAACCACAGCATTCTGTTAGAAGTCAGTGAGGATCTTGAAAACCTAAAATATTTGGAAATTAAGCAGCCAAGAGAAAACCACAAAGGAAATTAGAGGAGTTACTGACAGAACTTTGTATATCAAAGCTAACAGGCCTTATGGTATCACTTTAGGGTTGTAAAGGCACGACTGAAACCACTGTCACCCCCACCTTCCAGGACAGTAAAACAGCAGCAGAGCAGACCAGATGAATCAGGAGAAACCCAAGGATGGAACATTGTTTTTGGAAGAAACAGAAACTGGGAAAACCAACAAGATTGATTTTGAAAGAAAAGAAAATACAGAATTACGAATACTATCCACTCACAGACATTTAACCAAAAAGTAAAAGAAAATTAATTTAGTAATTTAAGACCTGCCACAAAGAAAGCCAGGCCAGAGGACCTACTGATGTGTCCTTCCAATGTTTGAGGAGGACACTGTACTGGTTTCTCCAGCATTCTTCCAGAAGTAGAAGTGGAAGCCATGCTGGGGGAAGACGGAGTCCATGGAAAGGCTGGGTCCTGACATCAGGTGCACAGTGGTGTTAGGAGAGAATGAACTACAGACCAGCATCTCTCACTAAGCTGATGCAAGCCTCCATCAGGTTTTCAGGTACCCAGGTTCAGCTGTGCGTGTGAGTGGATAGATAGCAAGACTACCAGCCTGTTTCAAAACTCAGCTAGTGTGGTGAGCAAAAGGAAGGGGAAAGCCCACAGGACCAGCCCGATGGCTAGAGAACAAGAGTGTGACAAGACTTTTTAATTAATTTTTTTTTTTTTAATCTGAGCAAACTCTGAGCTGGGGATATAACTCAGTGGCAGCACACTAGCATCTTCAGGCCCTGGGTTCAATCCTTAGTACTGCCCAAAACATCTCAGAAAACTAGGAATAAAAGGAAAAATTCTTTCAATCTGATACAAAAGCTGCAACTAACTTCACGCTTCCTGGGAGACTGAACACTCACCCCAAGACAAGGAGCAAGGTGGGCTCCTGCTCGCTCATCTTCTACACGTCCGTTTACTGGAGGCCGGTATAGTGAGCAGAGAACCCAAAGAATACAGACATCACAGCACTGAGGTGCATGTCACCATTTGTAGATGGCTGATCATTCAGTAAGTTTGCCAAGACCCAAGTCCAGCTTGAGCTGGAAACATGTCTATAGACTAGCAGTGAACAACTGGAAAATGCAGCTTCAAAAAACAAGTACAATGGCATTGAAGCTAAAATACAAATAAATTTACTAATGTATATGTGTATCTTCCACACTGAACACTGAGACGAACTGCTGGCTTGCACCAGGAGACTTGGAGATGCCGTACTTGACGGCATCCATTCTCCTGTAGTAAAAGAACCAGCAGCACTGCAGAAACAGGTCCTGTGGTTCTGAGGGTCACATGGAGATTCAAGAGACCCTGAACAGCCTAAATAGTTCTGAAGAGTTGACGCTAGCAGGAATGTCTTCAGGGTTGCTGGGAGCCCCTCCATCTGGAGGATTAGCTATATCATAAAGACAGGTCAGTCAAGGAGGACCAGGAAGCTCCCTCAACAGGGAGCTGATCTCCCAGCATCTCCAGTGCCACTTGTGGAGGGAAGAATATTTTCAACAATTGGACAAGGGATGTGACATCCTTACAGACTGGTGAATCAGTTCATCTCACTATGCAGAGCTAATTCAAGGAAGTCTTAGATTTAAACACAGAAGCCCCTAGAACCACAAAGCATGCTGAAGAAAACATCGGGGGCAAAACTCAAATATGTCAAACTGGGTGACCATTTAATATGGATAAATTGGACTTTATAAAAATTAAAGCCGTGGTGGTGCACGCCTGTAGTCCCAGCGCTTGGGAGGCAGAGGCAGGCGATCTCTGTGAGTTCAAGGCCAGACTGGTCTACATAGTTCCAGGACAGCTGGGGCTACAGGGAGACCCTGCTTCAAATTGACAAAAAAAAAAAAAAAAATTAAATGCTCCCCCAGGCGGGGGGGGGCCAACATTTAACCCCAGTACTCAGGAGGCAGAGGCGGGGGGATCTCTGTGAGTTTGAGGCCAGCCTGGGTCTACATAGTTCCAGGACAGCTGGGGCTACAGGGAGACCCTGTCTCAAAAAGACCAAAAAAAACACCCCCAAAACAATTAAATGCTCATAGAATACCATTAACTGGGGGTATAGCTCAGTGGTAGAGTGCTTGCCTAGCATGCACAGGCCCTGGGTTCATCCCCAGCACTGCAGCTTCCCAGTACTGAACCAGATGTGGGAGTACACACCCCCAGTACTGAGCCAGGAATGATGGTACACACCCCTAGTGCTGAGTAGCCAGGTGTGGGGGTATACACTCTCAGTACTGAGCCAGGAATGACGGTACACACTCTCAGTACTGAGCCAGGTGTGGGGGTACACACTTGTAGTTCAGCAACACAAAAAGAAGAAAAGGCCAAGAACATTTGGATTCTTCCCCAAATGTCCATCTTCAGGTGAATGATAAATTCTTAAAACGTAAATAAAACCACTGAGGAACATAGGAACAGGATTAAATATAAAACACGCATGGTTGGGCTGGAGAGATGGCTCAGCACTTAAGAGCACTGGCTGCTCTTGCAGAGGACCCTTGTTCGATTCCCAGCACCCACATGGCGGCTCAAACCGTCCTTAACTCCAGTTCCAGGGGAATGCGAAGCCCTCTTCCAACCTCCACGGCATTGCATGACATGGGTGCACTCACATACATGCAGGCAATACACTCATATACATAAAATAAAAATAATAAAATATTAAAAACACACACGATTAGTAAAAGAAGTTAGACACACAAGCAGGGCCACTTTGTTCCACCTTTGCTCACTCTTCAAGAGACTGCGCTGAGGATTGTGGGGTGTGGGGCACACAGATACTGTCTATCTCTGACCCCCAACCAGCACACTTGAGATTCATGTGCTTCACCTGGTGTGAGCTACCCCTGAATTACAATTTGAACATATGGCACTGTTTCTCCAAGGATGGAATCCCTTCCCACTGGGTACCAAGCTGCAGGTGTTCGTGGTGTTGATTCTGCTGGCTGACCCTAACAGTGCACACTTGTCTCCCACCATCCTGCAGGCTGTGCCAGGTGCACTGCCTCGAGATCATGCAGGAGTTGATGTGAGGGATCCTTTCCATGCTGGTCTGCTGAGGCAGTCACCTGGGTGGTGACAGCAGCCCACCCAGCAGGCCCTCATCCTGCCACTCAATAGCAGCCTATGTGTGCAGAGCCTGTTCTTTTCTGTTTGCACGGTAAGCTTTGCCACCCACAGCTCAAAATAAGTGATCTAATGTGAGTTTCTGTGTTGGATTAAAGTCTTTGCGCTGTGAGCCATAGCTCCTCCTGGGATAACAGCTTTAATTATAACCCGAGGCTTACTGAAGAGTTGTGTTTGTCCAAACTATCACAAGTCCTCAGGTGGCAAGGCCTTGATTCTCTGCTTTTTATTTAAGCTGAGAATGGCCCGCGTTTGTGTCATTTGTCATTTTTGTGTGAAAAACTCCAGACACAAAAGGATGCATAGGAGAAACCAAACATTACTCATACTTGTGAGCTCCCAAACCTAGTATGTGGTAATTTCACCCTCTGCTTTTTACTGATGTATGTGTCTCACAGACAGTATGCTTAGCTTCTTGTTAAACATGTGCTGCCTGTACTTTGCAAGCTGTGTACTTCCTAGCATTACGGTTGAGGTCTGTACAGAAATGTGTTTCTGACCTTGTTCTCCTAGCACTATGATGCTAGGTTTGTGCTTTATCAAATATTTGGAGAGAAGCAGATAAGGTGCTTTCCTCGCGTGTGGGTATAGCAGCAAAATGCACCTCAGAACAGGGGTGAAGAGCCCAAACATGATATCGCCAATGTCCTGACCCCAGCATCCAGCCTGGGGCTGCCCAAGACTGCTGTTGTGGCACCAGCAGGACAGGTAGGCTGTCCCTTGGCCGTCCATGGGGGCTGGCCTGGCCCTGTGCTCCTCTCAGTAAGGCTGAGTAAGTTCCTTTTTCTAGTTGGAGATGCTGCTGACAAGTGGCCATGCCTTCTTCTCCTACCAGGACCCCTCTCCCTGAGACTCCTGTGGGCTAGTGCAGTGCTGAGTCAGGTACCGCAACCTCTTCTCAGAAAGTCCCAGAAATGCAGGTGTATGGGTCCAGGAAAACCAGTCACCTAGCTGAAGTCATGGCCTCCGCTTATCAGGAAGAAGTGTACCAGGCACCAGATGGGCAGGACTCCTCAGAAAAGCAAGGCCAGTGTGGGATGTTCCTAACAGGGCTCAGATGTCTAGCAGGTTCTCCATCCTACCCCTCCTATAACTACCTACATCCCTGGCCAAGAACCCCCCCCCAAAAAAACCCAAAACCCTCAGGAGGCCAAGGGCCTCAAAGACACAGGTTCTGTGTAGAGGACAGATTTGTAATGCCTGTGTGGAACCACAGTGCCTCACTTTTTCAGGTAATGAGCTTGTTCTTCACTTTACAGTTGAACCCACTATCCTGTCACATAGACCTCATGGTAGCAGGGCAGGAGTGGGATTTTCTCCCCCAGGAGACCCATTGGACCCAGCCAGCATGTGGGCAGCATGTCACCAGCACAGCACCTGGGCTTAGTCCCCAACAGTTCTCTGTAGGAGTTGCTCTTTCACACATGAGCATTCACCTCTGGACGTGTTCACACACATGTATACAGAAATACACATGTATGCAGAAATAAACTTGTTTACCTGCTGCATACACTTGTGTACATGCAAACACATGTACTCAGAAATGCATGTTTAACTGCCCAATGCACTCACCTATGGGTATGTACACAGAAGTGCACATGTGTACTCACTGCACACATACACTCACCTGTGAACATGCACACACGTGCCTGTAGAAATGCACATATGCGTGCACACTGCATATATGCTCACACAGGCTTGTATGCATATTATAAGCCTTGCTCAAGCACTGACAGTTACCAAGGCTATGGGGATAGGCTCTCAAGTGACCCGCAGATCATATCTGGGAAGGACATTCCTCTGGGAGCCTGAGCTGATGGGGAGGGGACCTGGTAGCACCTCATCTGTCTCCTGGGTGGGCATAGCCCTAAGCCCTGGTATGGGCTGCATCCAAACAGGTCTCCTGCAAGAGCCCCTGGTAGAGGAAGAAGGGAACACTTGTGGCCAGGAAGGGGTTGGAGCTTAGCCTGCTGGCATACCACAGGGTCCAAGCAGGTGGTGGTGCTGCCCAGCCTGTGCCTGGAACCTGCTTTTTGAACTCTTCACCCACACCTGATAGACTGGAGCAGACAGGCATGTGCAATGTCTCATGTATTCCTCTGCTGGTAGACGGCCCCAAAGGGTATGTCCTGCTTCTACCTTTGAACCTGCTCAGCCGCCCTCTGCTCCCATATTGAGATTGTCTAGAACCATCTCTCAGGCGCTCTGAGGGATAGGAATCCAAAGGGCTTTTGTCAGAAGCCGGGCTCCTTCCCCAGGTGAGAGGGCTCACCCTTGCATGAAGCCTGTGCTGTGAGGTCTTTGTTCTTGATCTTAGGCTCTTCCATTTCCTTGGACAATAAAAAGCTGTGATTGTATCACGGGCGTGGTGGTGCACGCCTTTAATCCCAGCACTTGGGAGGCAGAGGCAGGCGGATCTCTGTGTGTTCAAGGCCAGCCTGGTCTACATAGTGAGTTCCAGGACAGCTGGGGCTACAGGGAGCCACTGTTTCAAAAAAACCAAAAAAAAAATAAAAAAAAAAAGCTGTGTGTGTGGTGCACCGTGTGTGGCTACAGTTAGGTGCACCATGTGGGACTGAAGTGTTTCCTGTTTGTGAGTTTCTCTCAGAAAGGAGGTACTGCAGCCATAAGAGACTGGTGGGATTCAGGATTAGGACACTATTTACCTATGTGGTCCTTAGAACCTTAGAGAATCCCCTACCAAAGTCACTGAGCTCAGCACAACCCTAATTAGAATGTTTAATGTGGGCAGCTTCAGGCAAGCTGCTAAGCAGGCAAAACATGCTGTGATGTGGGTAGTGACACAAACTGACAGCCCAGTACATATAGGGCCACTCCTTGTGCATAGAGCAAGTTGTAGCCCTGAGTGCAAGGGATGTGCCACCCACAGATCCAGGGTGCTAGGGTTGGGGCAGCAGGTGACTAGAGTTCAGGGGGCATGAGGAGATAGGCCCACTGCCTGGGGAGGGGTGGGGCGGGACAAGTCTGCCTGTCCCCAGAAAGGGATATCTCTGGGACTGACTAAGAGAAGGGGCCCTGAGACAGTTCATTCTTAGTATGAATGCAACTTTACCCAGCCCTTTCTGTGTGTGGTGACTTCTAGGAAATTGGATCTGGGTCGTCAGGTCCACTGCAACTCCCTTTTGATATTCTAATTCATAAGAGCTGGCTTGATGTCTAGAATTTGGGGCCAGAGAGACAGCCAACTTTTCTTGTACACCTAACTTCACTGAACTGGGTGTGGGGCCTGAGAAGGTAGCTCAGAAAAGTGCTGGCAGTAGAAATGTAAGGACCCAAGTTCAATCCCCCAACACCCACATAAAAAGCTGTAAATAATGACAACACATTTGTAATTCTAGCACTAGAAAGGCAGAGACAGAGATCTGTGGGGCTTGCTGACCAGGCAGTCTTGCTGAATTGGTGAGCTCCAATTTTAGAGACCTTGTCTTTAAAAATAAGGTAGACAGTAATAAAGACACCTGTTGTCAATCTGGCCTTTGCACCCACCCTCACCCTCCCTCCAACTACCACAGTACCAGCCAGATACTGGAGCCAACCATGTGATGGAGGTGGCAGCTATAGAGAGGTCCCATCCATCTGGCCTATATCCCCCAGGGTCCTACTTGGAGAGCAGGGCCAGCCTGAGGGATCCAAGGCTTCTCAAAGGGCATGGTGGCTATATGATGACTCCTGGTGACCTCTAGTTATGGCGGGCAGTGTGGGAACATAGTGCCAGATCTCCCTCAGATATGATCTAGACTTGGAGTGCTCACCAAGTAGGGTAAGCTTAAGTATACATGTCACTCGTGTGTCCTCAGAGCTGAGAGAGGGCGAGGTGGCTCTGGAGCTGACGACACTTGGCACTTGGCCGACAGCCCTAGCTATTTCTTCTTCCTGGTTTCAGGATGACCATCTGGACTCACCGTGTCCACTTCCTGGAGGAACAGGCCTTGCCTGGCTGGGAGTCCTTTACCATCTGGAATGCGGGCAAGCAGGGGCGTAGGCTGTACCGCAGCCTATCTGCAGCCAGCCGGCGCAAGGTAGGCCCCTCCCCTTCAGTCCTGTTGACCATCCCCATCATGCACCCCACCCCACAGCCATCTGATCTGCTGGCTCATATTCACCCCCAGGTTGTGGCCTTCTGTGACGTGGATGAGAACAAGATCAAGAAGGGCTTCTACTGTCATGAAGACTCTCAGGTGTGTGGCAGGAGTACAGGGCACCTTCCAGGGAAGGGCCATCCACACAAGAGATACACTTGGGCTCTGCCCTGCAGGTGCAGCCCCAGCTCTCCAAGGTCTACAGGACTTCTGAGAGCCTGCCCCTTTGGGGAGAACCTTACATATTCCTGTGGTCTGGGTCTCAAGGTTGACCCACCAGGGTTGGTTTTGCATGTGGCTAGAAGGCGTGCCAGAGATGGGCACATCCATCCATTTTTCCCTGATTGGCTCAAGACCCCCATTTGCACCTGGACACCAGCTACAGTTAGGAGCCCTGGTCAGCATAGGCCCTAGGGGTCCCTTCTGTGTGGTGTCCTAGTGACTTACAACTGGCACCATCTCTCTAGGAAAGGCCCAAGCCACAGGTTCCCATCCTGCACTTCCGAGCCGCCCAGCCGCCCTTCGTCATCTGCGTGAAGCTGGTGAGTGTTGCCTGTGGCTGTGCGGCTCCTGAGTGTCAGGCTCTGTGTATCAGTCTTCCCACCCTCACCATATGACCAAAGCCAGGGACAAGACCTGATCATGAGCACAGGGCCCTGTACCCTTTGGTAAGCCAGATCTTGCCTCGTGGCCATAACTGCACCCTGAGCTGGGTCACCAGCACCCTCTACTCTTGCTGATGGATGAGGTTCTCAGTTGGGATGGGCAGAGGACAGCCCAACTTCCAGTTGCAGCCGTCCATCATAGCTGTTGGGTTACCGAGGGGACAGCAACTGGTGGCCATGCTGGTGGGAGGGTGGACATAGGTGAGACTTCAGCCTCCAAACAGTTTCCAATTAGACCAGGTCTGGGTCCTAGCCCCCGGAAACAGCAAGGCGTGTGTGTGTGTGTTTGTGTGTTTTTTCATGGCCTAGGTCCTAGCCTCCCAGAAACAGAGCTTTACTGTACAAGATGTGCACTGAGTCGTTACTTACTAGCTTTTCCTTAAGAACAACGTCCCAAGCAGGTGAGCAAACTACTCCCCCATGCAGTGCTGCCCAAGCTCAGAAGAGCCACAGACAGCAATGACAGTACACACTGCTCACAGGATGGCCCTGGCTGGCACAATGCCTTCTTGGCATCAGCACAGTAGCTTATGTGGGCATTCCTAACCACACAGCACAGAGTTCATGTGAATGGACACAAACACTGTGTTCTTACGCCTGGGTCCTCTCTTGAGTTCATGCATATGGTTGTGGACTTTTGGCTCTTGTGGGAATGTCAGCACCCTAGCCTTGGGGAGTCATCCGTGCTGCTGTGAGCCCGTTCCTCTGGATTATCCCAGAAGGGACATGCAGGTCAGATGGTGACACCCCAAGGCAGAAGCATGGCAGCTGCACAGCCTCCCCAGCACTCCCCTCACTTTCTTGCCATGGTTGTGGGCATGTCGAGACTACAAAGACCGAGCACCTCTTGTGTGTTGGACATGTGAATGTCCTTTGCCGTGTTTCTCTACTAGAATGTACAGCATTTGATGGCAGAGCTCTCTGCTCCTCTGGGTACTAATCCTCTATGGTTATGTGTCCTGTGAACACATTCCTTTTATAGCTGCCCTTTCTCTCAGGAGTGTGAGACAACAGAAGTGTCCAGTGAATGGTACCGTGTTTAATATACCATCAGCCCTCACCAGGGCAGACTCTGGCCTGCCCTGGCCCAAGCCTGGTATTTCTCTGCAGTTGCGAAAGGGAAAGGAGGAAAAGTGGGAGGGAAAAGGGGGGTGCGCTGGGATGGCCAACAGGTGAGGAGAGTGGACATTTCTGTATCTCCAGGCATTGTTTTTTTTTGCTCAGGTGTTTCTAACCAGAATCTATGGGTCGTGTTGGGACACAGTGGGATCAGAGTCATAGCCTAAGGACATATGACCTGAGGACCAGCCTCTAGCTGGGTTGTTCTTTAGCAGGGGTTGAGTTCTTGGGGCAGACCTCCCAGAATTGTGTCCTGACCCCACTGGAGGTTCAGGATTGGGCCAAGGCCCACACAGAACAAGGTGAATCATTTGGGGACCTGTGAGTGGGTCCTTGACAGAGCCTGCAAAGACAGGGTGCATGAAGTCCACAGACAGTGGAGAAGACATGCTGCCTCAACAGCAGTGTGAGGGTTAGTTCCTTTCTGCAGAAGGCTGGGTGGTAGGGGCCAACAGGACTATGTACCAGCAACACCAGCTACTGCCCTGGCAGGCCACTGATATCCTTTAGGCCCCTTCCCTATCAGTAGAGGTGCAGAAATTCCTAGGTAGCCACCTGACAGGCGACATGGGAACCCCCATGCATGCAGCAGGCTCTGTGCGGGTCTCAGCGAGGAGGCCTAACAGCTGATCTGCTCTTTCCACAGGACCTCACAGGGGGCGAGTTTGAAGACAACCTAAAGTCACTGCACTTGCAGGAGGGCCGGGACTTTATTCACTTCAGCTGAGGTTATCTCCAGGTAGGTCAACACAGCACCACCTGTGGGTTCTGATCCTCCTCACCTGCTCTGCTTCCCTGTCACATGGCTTTCAGTGACTCTGCATCCCGCCTTTTCCCACCACATTTAGCGTGTTCATTTGCAGCCCCTGTTCCCTGCTCCAGTACTCAAGGCCTGTCTTTCAGGCACTACTTCAGATGAATTCCCTGTGGTAACTTTTACCAGCTGTTTTGTCATTTATTTAAAGCAAGAGCTAGGTTTATCAAAGTTCAGGTTCTGTGTTCCGGACATTTTTGTGAAACCAAACTTTTCTCCATTTTCCAAACCATCTGCATTAGCCGCTAGCAAGAAGCAACTTAGGGTTTGTTTGTTCCTTTTTTTTTTTTTTTTTGGCTTATGAGGATACAGTCCATCATAGGGAGGTGTCGGGGGCAGGCGTGGTGGTGGGAGTTCCCAGCTGTGACTCTTCTTCACCCTCCCATGTCTTGGTAGAGCAGAAAGCAGGGAGAGCCAGAAGTATAGCCAGGCTCCAAACCTCAAGCTCTACCCCATGACCCACTTCTAGCTAGGCCACATCTTCTTAAGTGCCCTGACTGGGACAAAAAGTTCAAAGTCTGAGCCTGTGGGGGACGTTCCACATTCAAATTAAAACGTCCTTTGCTTACTACACCTGACACTTCAACTTCAGGACAGTAGGTTGGCCTGGCTCTTCTTGAGTTGCTGGTTTTACTGCCACAGGGTCTTAACTGTGTAGCACAGTCTGGCCTTGAGTTTACCATCCTTCTGTTTCTGCCTCCTGAATGGTGGGTTACAGGTATGTGCCTGGCTCAAATGTTATTTTAGTGCACTCAGGTACATCTGAGGATACAGTCCTGCCATCTTCCCCCTCGTCAAGCCACAGGTATCTCACTCCCCAGCACTGTCTGCCTTTACCCTGCTTCCTAATGTGTTCCATGGACACCTACGACATGAAAGGTTTTGGCTGTCATTTTTACCAGCATGCCTGGTGTGTCTTCTCGCTGCCTGCACCAAATGTGCCACTGGAGAACTTTCCTGATCCCTCTGCCCCCAGACACCTCCCTGCTGAGCCCATCCTCACAGTGCTCAGCTCTGCCCCAATGGCCATGCCGGCCAGCATGGGAAGTTTCTGACTGAACACCTCAGTGGGTGCTGAAGGTGGGTGTTAAGAGACTGCCAGGCAGCCAGAGGGAACAGATGTCTATGGGTGGGATCCCTATGCACTCCTCAGGTCACAAAGTCTCACTGAACAGGAAACTGCTTTACCAGTGTCAATCTGTGGTAAACTGGTCAGTCTCCAAGTCTTAAAGTATGATATTTAGAACCATGCTTTTAAAATTACACTAAGAGTAGTTCATACTGTTTCCCCAGAATTTGCCTGTTCCACCTCAACAGACAAGACAGCAGAGCCGATCCCATGTGTGGCTTCATCAGGTGACTAAAGCCAGGCTCCCACTCAGAAAACCTCAAGTTCAGGAGAGGTGTCTGAAGCGCTTCAAACCGTGGTCTGCTGGCTTAACTCAGTCTCACCAAATGACTCCTGATAAAGGCAGCAGCATGGTGCATTTTCACGCCCAGCTGCATTGGATGCAGGCTGTGGTTTTCAGCTCTGTTCCAGGTATATCAGTGTCCAGCCCCAACCGTAGAGAGACGAGAGGCACCTCTGGGGCCACTGGCGAGCCATGTAAGGCTTATTGAGCACTGCCCAGCAGTTTTGCCCAGGCCTAGGATGCAGCAAGGCCCAGGAGACAGGCATGGGGTTATCACAGCAGGACAAATGGGCACGCAGGCCCTGGGACAAGAGGAGCCCGTCTTTCTTGAAGAGGCCCAGGTGCTTGCACAGGTGTGAGAAAACACAAAGATCCAGGACCAGAGGATCATCCCACAGGGACACTGGATTCTGAGGACTGCTCCTTACTCCTCTGAACTGCTGACCTCACTGGCTTAGCACATGAGAAAGCCGCCACCTACATCCATCCAGCACTTCATACCATGCTTGCCACCAGGGTTTAATAACCATGATGCAACAAGCAAACCATGCCTGGCTTGCAGCATTGGAACTGGCAGGAGGGGAGCCCACACTAACTCTTCCCAGTTTCACTTACACATAAGTTCCAGAAATAGAGGCTGGGTGGTGTGGTACATGATTTAATGGGAAGCATCTGTGTTAAGGAATGGTAGAAGCACGGATAGGAGCACACGGGAGGAAGCGCTGCCCTCTGGCGATGGCCTCCCATCGTCCAGCAGCAGGTGCACCAGCCTTTGTCAGACAGGCTGCTTGTGGTGCCTTAGAGCAGGACATCCCAGCCAGGCAGGCCAAAAGCTTCAGCATGTGCCAGGCTGTGGAGAGATGGCAGTGTCAGGCTGGTCACAACCCCTACCTTCTGGTATGTGTGAGGACTCTGGCACAGAGTCACACTGCCATGTCCCAGCTCTTGGCAGCTTGAGTCACATAGCTCTGTGGGCTCATCACTGTGACGCTACTGTACCTGGGGAGGGAGGGTTGCTAAACTGCTCTCATCCACATATGTGGAAAGTTTTCCTAACAATAAGCTCAGGCATGTAACATTAAGTTCACTCTCCACACAGGAGACTGCCAAGGCTCTATCTGTTGTCACCAGCCCTGGAGGCCATTGCCTAGGTATCTGGTTATGATTCCTGCAAAGGGGGGGGGGACGACCTGAGGAGAAGGACTTGGACATACAGACATAGCACAGCACACATAGGAGGGGAGAGAGAACAAAATCTCTCCCAACATGACAAGAGGCAGAAGATAAGGCTTAAAGTCAGGAAAGTGAAGACAGGGCCATGGGGAAAGAAGGAGGGATCAGCAGGACCATGTCAACCAAACATACCAAAGCCTCAGGATTAGGACAGATGAACTTCAAGCGGGGCCCTCTGCAGCTGGGGGTCAAGGCCAGGGATGGTGTGTGCGGGTGCTCAGCTGCAATGTGTCAAAAAAGAGTGCTGTCCCCAGGGTGATCAGGGACAGAAGGACAGAAATGTATAACAAGTTAAAAGGAGAGGAAGTGGAAGTCCAGATAAGGGAAAAGAAACATTAAACAGGAAGGTCAAATAAGAGACAAAGATGATGAATGTAAACTAAAGCCAGTAATGATACAGAAAATAGGGATGTGTGAAACACTAATTAATAAAGATCTTAAAGTGGAATGTTAGGGCATGACCTAACCATATACTGTTCATATCACTACAGTGGACAGACACCACCAGGGTGTCACCACATTAACCCTGGGCAGAGGTGATGTCGGACCACCTAGTAACAGATCCAGAATTTATCGCCAAGATTAACAAAACTGAAGAGAGAAATTGAGACAAACCCACACCACCACTTAGTAACCGATAGAGTAAGATGTGTGCCAGGCACCTTGGGCTGCTGAGGCATCATTGGCACCATGACCCAGCATGAACATAGGGCTGCAAAGGCAGCTTAAGGCCTGCTCCAGTCTATACAAAGAAAGTTGTGCAAATGGAAAAACAGCCCCTCTTATCAGTATGTCAGAGAACTGAGATCTCCGCCCTGAAGCTGGAAAGAGCACATCAAACAGCCTCAGCTTCCTAGCAAAGGCCGCTGAAGGGCCAAGGTGCAGGCTTCCCAAGTGGCTGATGCACAAGCTTCAGAACGCCAGCCACAGGGACCCATGAGGTTCACCGTGTGAAGATCTGAGAAACACTCAGGCTTCAACAAGGGAGGGAAAAGTCAACACTGTGAGTCATACCAAGACCCTCATTGGGGAGAACTCATTGGAGCCTGGCCTGCTGGAAGAATGCAGCCCTCAGGCCCAGACCAAGGATGGAGACTGACTGGATAAGTAGAACGTTTCTCTATCCCACCGTTACCTGCAGGACTCCGGTATGGAAGTGGGCTTTTGCAAAGATGGGGAGCCTCTGGGGCCTATACCACACAGCAGTCAACAGAGCTCCCAGCCAGAAAAGCAGGCCACACACTGTTGCCCATCACACAGCATGGTGAGTGCCAAGAAAAAGCACAACTGAGAGACAGAATGGGTGCCCAACAGCCTCTGACGCTAGACAGGGAGGGATCCAGTAGGAACTGAAGACACCTGGAAGGGAAGCTGTGGGTGGCAGGGCACAGGGCTGGGTTAGAAGGAAGAACTGGGCAACAGAGTACAAGAATGAGCAGTTCAGCCATGTGGACAGTCGCAAAGCGAAAAACAGGAGCTGACGCAAGAACTGGGCACAGGCACAAAGATGCAGCGTTTCTGCTGCAGGACTGGGAGGGGCAGGAAGCGTCCAAAGGCAGATGAGCCCTTGTGAGGGGCCAAGGCCCAGTTTTAGTCGTGAACCTCAGCTCCCTCCAGCCCCCCAGCCCCTGGCCAGACTGCTGGCTAGTGTGCAAGCCAACACATTGCTTCTGAGAGTTTTAACATCAAGGGTCAAGAAGAGCCAAGACAATCTTGGATGAAACTGGAAGCTAGACGTGGTCAGCACCATGAGCTGTGTGACCCAGGCCCCCTCCATCAGACACTGTTGGTATCTGGAACTATTACAAGACTCCCTACCCTAGGAGGCAGCATTTGAGGTGCTGTAAGACCCTTGACAGGATAATGGTGATAGGTCGGAGTTGCCTGTAGAGCTGGGCTGGCTGGTAGGAAACAGAATGACCTTTCTTGTTCACCATGGCTGGTCCCAGGTGAACTGAATTTCTATGGGAAAAGCCCATGGAGCTTTCAAAAGAAACAGCAGGCTGCCTACCTGCCTGTGTAACCTCCAGATAGACCACAATAGGAAAGAAAAAAAACTGGGGTGTACTTAGTCAAGGTTGGAAACCAGTATATAGAATGCTTGAAGGCCATGTAGACAGACTGACCCACAGAACCCAGAAAGTGCCCGAGGGCATGCAGACCCTAGCTTCCATGCCCCAGGAATACCCTGAGACCTTAACAAGAACTTAAAGAAGTAGCCTGAGCACACACAGCCCCAGACAATAAACACACCAAGTCCAAGGAAGGGGAAGGGGACAAGCCTGAGCATAGGCAGCAGAGAAGGGGCACAAGGGTCCGGGATGGGACAGAGGCCCCAACAAGAGGTACATCTGTGCAGGTAATGTGGGAAGCCGAGCTTTCTCCCCACACAATGGAAGCTTCCATCTTCAAAGATAGGAGCTGGGCCAACAACTGGTAGCCAGTATATAGGATGTGGAACTTGCCCACCCTGGCGGAAGCAGGGCATTCCCAGCAGGTCTGGAGAAGATAAGGGTAGTGCTGAACTGTAGCCAAGGTGAGCTGTCCTTGTCTCTCAGAGCCAGTGTGCTTTAGACCAGATCACAGAACAACAGGCAGCACAGGTACCATGTGTCCAAACGATGTTGGAGGCATTACCTTGAGAACCGGCTGGGGTCTGGGCACGCCGAGGAGGTCACACAGGCGATCCCGCTGCCCTCTTACAACTGGGAGCTCTGTGTCCCTGAAGAAGAGAGAGGATTAGCCTCCTGCCCCACGCCCCATGGTGCAGACCACAATCAGATCCAGGATCAGACAAAAGCCCTAACCCCCAGAGCAAGCACCAGGAGAACCCCGGCTCGGGCACAGAGGGCTTGTTCATAGGACTAAGGCACACCCATCCTAGTGACAAGTAGAAGAGGCTGCCTCAGGCCCCAGGTCTTCTGAAGCTAAGAATTCAGCTGCTGCTAAAGAATCAGTGCTGTTCTCACTGTTCAGCATATTTTATATATAATGAGATGAAGTTAAAATAGGTCCTCCACAGGCTGGAGAGATGGCTCAGCAGAGCAGTTCAGTTCCCAGTACTGTGCTGGAAGGCTCACAACCACCTGAAACTCCAGCTCCGGGGCATCAACACTGTCTTCTAGCCTCCATAAGCATAGGCAACTACACTCATGTGCACATATCCCCCACCACCAAACACAATTAAGAATAAAAAATAGCTCCTCCTCTCCCTGATGTCCTTATTCAAGCTTAATGGCTCAGAAAGTAGGAAACGGGCTACAGGATGTCCTCCGTGCTGAGGTTTGACCACTGCCACCTCAGAAGGCATTAACTTGACTCTCACTGAGAGCAAAGATGTCTGGCCCTCAGGCCAGGAGGCGCTGAAGTGCCCTTTGACCTTCTGGGCCCCCACAGCTCTCATCCAGACAGGGAAACCATATCCTGGCATAATCCCCAGGGATCACTGTTCTGAGGGACACATATGAACATGCTCTCACTTGCAGCCTAGCTAACCCTAGCAGACCTGTCAGCATTTGGGGACAGTGTCCACAGGTAAGAGCAGTACAATGGCCCACCTGGCTGTGCCGCTCAGCTATTTAAGTGCAGCTGAACATAGGCATATATGGAAACATGCATGTAACTACAGCTGTGTACATGTGTGTACAGTGACTGGATCACAGGTCACCTTAGGCTGTTGCTACTGTGACCATAACTGCTTCAAAGCCCAGCCCATGACACCTGTGAGCCAGGCCTGCAGGTTGCACCTTTCTCCTCCCCATGCCGTCTCCTCTGTACCTCTGACTTGGAAACATGTCCCCAAAGCTACAAAAACAGGAAAAGTCACAGGGCCCTCGCAGCAGGAAAACGAGGGTAGCCGCTGCTGTAGCCAGCTGACCCCTACCCAGTGGCCCCCTGATGGCTCTATATCTAGTTGTAGAGAAAAACACCAGCTTCTGATAAGAAGGGGTACTCTACCCACCTCACAAGAAACTACTTGGAAAAAGTGTTACACAGCCGACATTTTCTCATTTGAAACTCCTAAGAAGCACCTGTCCCAGCCCTGTGTAAGGCCCTGAGCCCAGCTGTCAAAGGTTAGAAATGTCTCCCCTCTTTCCATAAGAAGCTACAGGGGATGGGAAGGGGCAGCACCAGGTGCAGGCAGGCCCCACCCACCAGGCTGTGTCACTGAGCACAGACATGACCTCATCCAGTACGTCGGCATCCGCCACGTCGCTGTAGGTGAGCACCATCTCGTACACTTGGCTTGCTGCGGTCTTCCGGATCTGGGACAAAAGCAGCATGTGAGGAGAAGGACTCCCCCCTGAAACCAAGGAGTCTAGGGAAGCTCCCTAAAAGGGAACCAATGTGGCCCCCCTAATAAAGTCCTAACACCAAGGATATACAGCTGACAGGAAGCAGCACAGCTTCTGTTGCAGGGCTCAATGGGGACACCCACCAGAGGGGCCATCTTGCCTGCTTGCTTTTCTAGCCGTGTCCCGTGACAGACTGCTTCTGTGAGATCTTTGCACCCTAGTAGTGTGCACTGCTCACAAAGGCTGAGCTGTGGGTCATCCCACTTTACCTCAAAAAACACTGTACTATGTGCCGTTCACCCTTTTGGGAAACCTTTGGAGCATTTAAAGAGTTCTTTAATCAAAGGGGAAATTCTAGGCAGTCTAACCCTGGGCTGGGTCTGATGAGGGCAATGCCCCAAAGACAGGGTCTCTTCAGTTAGATGTTCATGTTCTAGGCCTGGGCTGTAGCACCCCACCCTTGGCAACACTTCCCATGCCAACCCTGCCCAGTGCCAGTGCCCACATTCCTTCCGTACGAACAGCAGCCAGCTGACTGTCAGGATCCCAGGACTGCCCCACACCTGGAACCCATTTCCACAGGCACCTCATCTCACCCTGCCTCTACTTCAAATTCACACCAGCAGACACTCATCTTTAAAGGTCACATGCAAGCACAGACCTGGGTCTCAGGCAGAAGGTCTAGAGGTGTGGCAGATACTCACCACAGGGAATGGGTGGCCAAGGAGGAGGAACAGCTGCAGAAGAACCTTCTTTCTCACATCACCATGGAATTGCACCATGCCACAGAGCCTATAGGAGATCCACAAGTGACGTGGAGCTGCGCCACGCCTGTGTTACCGAAGGACCCCACAGCTGTCCTAAAGACCCAAGACACATGGGAGACCCTAGAAAGAGCACAGCACAGGTCCTGTGCTAGTGTGTGCACATGCCTATATATACACCTGTGTATTATGTACTAGTGCATATGTACTTAAGCATATATGACCAGATCTCTACACTAGCATGTGTACACAATTGTACATTCATGATACATACTAGCATGTGTGCATAACTGTGTACTATGCACTATTCATGACCAGATCTCTACTAGCATGTGCATGCCTGTGAACCCAGATCCTCACACTAGTGTATGTGTATGCACATATCTATATCTATGACGACCTTTGGCCCTTAGGTATCTATAGGGCTATTATGGTGCCAGAGCAAGTGATGGATGTAGCTTGTTGTGGTTGATGCTCTCCAAGTGCCACTGCAGCCCAACATCACAGGAGTCTGACCTTTCCTTACCATTGCATTAGATGGACACTTAAACAAGATTTTAAACATCATTATGACTAAATTAGATCTCCCACCAGGAACCACCAAGTTCCTGCTGTTGCTGTCCAGGGCTGGGAGCACTTAAAACTCACACTGCAATACTTGACTGAAGTTTCTGGATATCTTTGGATTTCTTGATTTCTTCCTTACAAAGCGCAAGCAACTTCACACAAAAGGGGTGGCTGGGAGGAAAACACATTATTTAAAGTGGAGCTTTCACAGGAACAAAGAATGCCACGACACATCCAATGACTCTTTTGGCGCCAAGTGACTTAAGAGCCAGCTTTTTCAAGGGTGCTGGGCCATGTGACAACCAGTTTCTTTCCAACAAGCACCAACAGATAGCAGATATACTTGTTACCCACAAGACATCTATTGCCTACATCATCCATGGTGTTCAACACATGGGCGGGCAGGGCCTGGCACTGCATGATGTGACCACTCCCAGGTGACCCACCTCAACAAAAGAGAGCCCATTCAGCCAGTGCTGTTGCAGAGTGAGTGCATGTGATGGCCCAGGCCACACTGGAGGGCATTGAGTCCTAACCAGCTCCTCAGATGCGTACCAGCATTTAGCATACCTCTAAAAGTACTTGTTGGGGACATACTGCTAAGGACTGTCATTATCATGGTCCCCAGCCTGCATGAGACCTCACTACAGCCTCTGTTCGCCTCCCTCTGGGACGCTTGCCTGATTCCACTGCTCTTCTAGACTTGACCCACCCCAACCACAGGCATTCTATGGTCTTCTGGGACAGGTCTACATCCAACTCTTAGGTCCTCAGCAACCCAGTGGGTTCACACACCAGGGTCCTTGGAGGACTCCCACTGGACTCAGCCAAGAGGCACGAGCCCTCCTGTGGATGGGGTCTAATGTACATCTCAATCCTGTATCTCTGGGTGGGGCACCATGGCTTCCAAGCCACTCTGGCCATTCTTAGGTTTCTATTGTAGGAAGTCACACAGGGCGAGAAGCTTTCAGCTGCTGTGGCTCCCTCCCTCTACTCAGACACATCTGTTGTGAGCAGTGCTAAGTCATGGAAGCCTGCCTCTGGAGCAGCCACTGCCCACCTATTCCTGCTGGCCGTGCTTGGCCCTCACTTGATGGACAGCCAGGGCTCCCACCCACTACCCAGATCCCAGCATCCATTCTCAACATGATGACAGCCTAATGCCCATGTACAAGTTGCCACTGCTGCCACGTTCCAAGGAGATGCACCTAGAAGCTCAGGCTGCCTAGGATCCAGGGACCCACCAGCCAATCAGGATATAAGAAGGCTGCTGTTCTGAGCCAAAAGCCTGGTCTTCATTCCAACTCCAGCCAACACCCAGAAGTACTTCCTGAGAGAGGAGAGGCAGAGACATGGCCCTGCAGCCAACTCTAGACAGTCAAGAAAATCTAGTGCCTGAGAAAGACAAACCCAAATCCTGACGGCTGAACAGTGGTTGTCCTTGGGCAGGTCCACACACAGTACCCAGACAGACCTGGCGTGTGGACATTAAGACAGAGCCCTGTGCCCCAGACTGGACACACCCCAAACAGTCAGAACCACAGCAAGAGCTCCTCATGGAGACGAGAGTAGGGGGATAGACAGTAGGAAGTAGCAGCAGCACTTGTGACAGCACCAACAGCATGAAACTCTACCCTGAAAATGTTCATGAAAACAAAACAAAACAAAACACCATAAGTCAACACTAGTTTAGAAATGTCTTAAGGGAATCTAGACTGCACAGAAGGAAGACAGGGTGATGACAACAGAAATCCTGGCAGGAGAAAGCCTCTGAGGAGGGCGGCAGTTGCTAGACTTACAGGAGGCAGCAGAAGCAAGTGAAACGATGTCTTTTAGACTCTAGATAACTGCCCTGGAGCCCAGGTCTTCTGAAAGAAAGCTTTCAGGTGAAGCAAACGACACCACCAGCAGACCTCTCGGGGGGTGGGGGTGTGGAAGGAGGGCTGTTCCCTAGGTGGAGGGAGATGACGGGTGGCCCCAAGATGCAGTAGTGAGACAAAGTAGCAGAAATATGGTTAATTCAAAATAGCACTAACTACAGAAAGCACAGTGAATGTAATAGTCTTGGGAGGGAGAAGAGTTAAACATGCTCTGCCATCCTTGGCAGTGTCCAAGAGGAAGGACAAAATACCAGAAAGTAGGTTTTGATAAGTTGTGGGTATCCAGTTTAATTTTCAAGGTAGCCTAAGAGCACAGAAAAGAGTGAAAAGTCCCAACAAATACATGAGGGAGATGGAATGAGAAAGAAAATTCTATGGACTGGAGAGAGAAGAGCAGAAAACGAACAGCAAGAGATAATAAATAAAACATTTTAAAAAGGTGTTTTTATTTTCTGTGTGTGAGTATACTGCCTGCCTGTATGTAACTACACCCGTGTTGTGCAATGCCCGCAGAGGTCAGAAGAAGGCTTTGGCTCTCCTGGAACTGGAGTCTTAGACCGTTCTTAGCTGCCATGTGGGTCCTGGGAATCAAAACTGAGTCCTCTGCAAGAGCAGCCAGTTCTCTCAATCACTGAGCCCATCTCTCCAGCCCCAAGATAACATCTTAGATGGAGAACTTCAAACCAAGAAGATAATGGAATGGGTTTATGGATTCAGCTAAAAGATCAGACGGGATTTTCACAGAACTGTATATGCTGCTAGTAACAGACATACAAAAGGCAAATATACAAAAAACCTATAATCCAAAGTAAAACACAAGCCAAAGCATAGCGTGGGCAAAGCACCTTCCAAGATGTAGAGTCATTTGATAAGACTGTGCCCTCAGTTTCTATGTACCAAAATTTCAACTTAAAAATTCATGAAGCAAAAGCTAATACAAAAAATAAAGAAAAAGTCATATCACAACAGGGGACATTTTTCCTATTATTTTGAAATTTTTCAACCCAAGAAAAATGCATGCCAAATCCTTAGAACATTTAGCAAGACGAATCAAGCAGTATGGGAAAAGATCTCAGCCAGGTTATGCATCTGTGAGCATTCAAGTTGTTCCAACAGCAGGTATAAGAAAATCAGTACTTCACACTGACAACGGGAAGTCCTGTCATGTTAGATTAAAAGCTATCCAAGGCATCCAGCAAAGACAGAGATCTAAGTTCCCTGCCAAGCAGTTAAAAACCAAGCAAAATTCCCAACACCACAGGCTCCAAGGGAAGCAAACTGGTCTCACCCCAGCCAGGCTGTGTGGTGTATGTCAGATCTCAAGGCAGAGCACTGAGACAAGGAAGGAGACTCCTAGCCTTGAGGGTTCGCCTGAGTACTGATCAGCATGCAAACACCAAGGCAGGGAGGAAGGGGCAACACCAGGAAAGATGAGAGAACTGGGCAAAAATTCCCCATACTGGGGCAGAAAACAGAAACTGAATAGTGAACTGAGACTCAGAGGTGGGAGAAGATGAACTGAGACCCAGATACTCTGATAGTTTAAAAGCAAAATCCCCAAATGGGTTGTTTCCAAGTAACTAAACTACGTGGCAGTAGATATCTGCTCAGGAATCTTCAGGGAATTCAAAGCTATCCAGACCAACAAGGCAGAATTCAAGGCATTCGAAGAAGAAAATGAAAACACAATCCCAGGATGAGATACTCACTCAGGAAGCCAACCCGGTACCTAGACAGTAGAGAGCTCAGAGAAAGATGTTGTGTGGTGATGCTGTCAATTCCTCTGGGTAAGAGGCTGAGGAACCAGGAACCACACACAGCAGGAAGCAGCCGACTCATGCCCAAGGCGGACACGGGCATGCTCCCAAGCCCCACAACATGCATAGCCCATTTCCACCTGCCATTCAGTCTTTATTATACCTCAGGCTCCAGCAGCATCCAGCATGGCTCTGCCCACCAGCCCTGGTAGGTGGACACTTCACCTGCCAGAGTCTATCTCCCACCTGAACATCAGCACCCTATCTCACCCTACCCCATCCAATGCCTCTGTAGTACTTGTGGTGTGTCATCTCCTGATCTGATCTAAATTACCAGCTGGCCAGATATGGTGGCTAGGCTTGTAATTCCAGCACATAGGAGGCTAAACAGGTAGGATTGTGAGTCTGAAGCCAGCCCGGGCAGCACAGTGAAACCCCTATGTCAATAAATAAATAAAATGTGGGCAACTCGGGCTTCACCAGACAGGAAGCACTAATAAGCAAGCAGATGCTTACTTCTCCTCGGTGGTGAAGATGTCGAAGCACCCATTGGCCAGAATCTGGTCCAGAGTCTTCAGCAGTGACACAGATACCCTGAGAAAGGAGAGAAGTGAGCATGAGACCCACATCAAGCACTGAGAGCTAGGTGCCACCCAGGTGAGGGACGGGCAGATGCTGCTGGCAAGTAGAAAACCCTTTGTGCCATGATGGCTTCCTCTTAGATGGGGTGAGAACCAAGACTGATCCGTCAAATCCCTAGACAGAGACAAACCAGTGTTACAGTCCTTACAAGAATGCCAAATGACCCTGGGAAGGAAGAACAAAACTGGCACGAACATGGCTTCCCTCAGGAGTTACCATAGTGACGGTCAGAAAAGGGTTCCTGCTGCAGAGTTGTGCAGATGGCACGATGGGGACCAGCATTCACCTGCACACTCGAAGGTTTTGACAAGGTGTAAAGCCAGTGCAGCAGCCAGAGTCCAGAAGACAGTGCTAGACAACTGGGCGTGTGCAGAACTAAAATGGGCATGTGCCATGTGCTGTCCGCCACAAAACTAACTCTAGGTGGACTGACCACAGGGCTGAAGATGGGACCTCGTACTGAGTCTTTTGCAAGAAAGTATCAGAGGAACTTTGAGACCTCCAATTAGGCAACATTTTGTCACCTACAAACCAGAGGCACAGGAGCACTCTGAAACACAGGGCTGGTGAGAGCTGGGTCCTTCAAACCACAGATCTGACAAGGCCTTGCCCAATACAATGAAGACGTCACTGAACCAGAAGCTACAAGAAGAATCCTGAGCACCCAGCAGAACGGCCACCCAAGCTAGTAAGAACATGGAGCAGGTGGATCTCCTGCTGCCATCGAGGGAGTAGAAACAGCACAGCTGCTCAGTGAGACCTCCAGCAGCTTTCCAGAAGTCAACACTCCGCTCACTGCTGTCCCGGCTGTCCACTACTTGCTGTTTACCCAAGGAAAGGGCATGTATGTCCACAGAGACTCATCCCTAGTGCCCACTGCAAGGTGTCTGAGGCCTGGAACGTAAGGTGCCCAGACAAATGAGTCAGTTCCTGTCCACAGCAGACCCCAATTGGGCAACAAGAAAGATTAGACAGAGGTGACTACGCTGACCCACTACTATATTAAATGAAATTCTACAAAATGCCAGCTCAGCTTTGGTGATAGGAGATCAGTGGTCAGGAGAATGGACAGTGGGGAGTGCTCTGAGGGACAGGAAGAAACCTTGGTGGCCAGAGAGGGGTTCGCAGTACACAAGCCCCAACCAGGCTGCACACTTGGTGTGGGAATTTCCCTCTCTTAGACCCCAACAGCGTCGTTACAAAGAGACAAGAAAGGGTGGGGGTTCTTCCCACAGACCAAAGCCTCAATCGACTTCACCTGGCTGCTTACGGCATCCCCACATTCCCTGCCCAGATGTGGACAAGGAGAAGGACGAGAGGACATGAGCAGGTTCTGGGAGCCATCAGGGCCTGACGGTAAGCCGTGGGCTTGCCATGGCCTGCTCCTCACCCAGTACTGGGACATATGTGAGCCAGGGAGACCCGGGCTCTGTGGAAATAAGATCGGGGCATGGGTGCCATGCACAAGCCCCCAGCCTTGAAATACCACTCACCTGTCATTCAGGAGGTTGTCCTCAAAGACCTGCAGGAGGGTCCCACTGAAGCTCTCCAGGGCCTGAGCATCCTTCTGAATCCCCTTCATGTACTCAAAGAGGCTCTGTGTAGAATGCCTGACCTGCAACCCAGGAAGAGGTCTTGTGAGTCAGCATGGCCAGCTTCTCCCTTGCTTCCCTAGGGACACTACAGTGACAGTAAGTGACTGCTGCCAAATGGAAATAACTATGAGGTGCTGGGCTGGGGCAACAGTGGACTCGTGTGCTCTGCACATCTGGGATAGAACCCTCTCGATGGTGGTAGTGCAGCCTGAGCCAGCGTACCATCCCATTTTCACTAGGACACAGCAACTATGAGGCTGTCCCACACTATGGGACACTGGCATTGCAAGTTCCACAGTGCAACCCCGAACCCAGACAAGCCCAGACCACTGTGTGCAGGGATCAGATAGACAGGCCCTGAAGGCTGGAGCCTGGGAGCAAGGTAGTGGGGGGCCCAAGCAGAAGACTGTCCCTCTGTGCAGAGAAGACAGAACTCCAAGGGCACAAGGTCCTGGTCTAGCTCAGTCTAACATCACTAAAAAGGGGAGAAGCAGGGGCACAAAGGGGATCACAGCAAGCCCAGATGCTATTGTGGGGACTAGGCTGGGTGGCTATAGCACCATGAGCACGTGATGGAAGACCAAGAAGGTGACACCACAGGACAAACCACATTCTTCTAAGAGCAAATGGCCCGATGGAGGAGCTGCTCTGTGGTGGGGCCTGGCAGGAGCATCTTAGATTCTGACTCAGGTGGTTCTAGACCACAGAGGACACTGAGCCAGGCCACTGAAGTGTTAAGTGCAGTATGTGAGCAACACTTGTGTCTGTGATAGAACACAAGACTTCTGGGATCAATTTTAGGTGTCCCTCCCAGGAAAGAAGCCGTGTGTAGGTGCCATGTGTGTCCTGTGGTTGGAGGAGGTGGCAGAGGTGCCCCCTGTAGCAACGGAAGCACCAACAAATGGACGTTCTACAGCATTCTCTGCACTTTTGCGCTTATTTCAAAATTCCTAAGGAAAGGTTTAAGAAAAGCTGTTCCTTATCTAGAAGGAAATGTAAATACACTAATATCAGAAGTCGTACATGGTAAAGAAACATGGCCCGAACTCGCCTGTGTCCTTATTTTCAGGCAGTATGTCCAGCAACTAGGCCATAAGACCATTGCTCTCGACTGTTCAGAGCCGCCGGATGACCAGGGCCTAGGACAGAGGCCTCAAGAACACGGAGTACCTAACTCACTTCCACTTAAAACACTTGTTTAGCCCTCACCAGGCTCCATCGCATGGGGACTGCTCCCCAGAGTCCTGTCCTGGGGCCCTAGCACTTAGGCAGAGATCGGGGTGGGAGGTAGAGGGAAGGCGACAAAGGGGAGGCAGACTCCAGTCCCCAAAGGCCCGGCCTGCCGTGTAGGGATCCAGCAGTGCTGACCCCAGGGAGAAGCAGCCCTGTTCCCTTGCTCTGCCCAGTCAAGTGCCTCCTCACCGTAGACTCTGTCAAGCCACCCACGGACACGGCCAGCCCCAGCAGGACATGGTATCGGTAGGTGGGCAGCCCCAGGAGCTGGGTGATGAGAGGGAAGGCCTGGGACGGTGCATTCCAGTTCACGGAGGCCACATCAGACCTGCAAGAGAGCAAGTTCCTCAAGGCCATGCTCAGACAGGCTACAAGGGGGTCCATACGCCAATAGTACCTGGGAAACAGACTTTCCAGTTCTCTTCGGTGGGGCACATGGGGGATGGGAGGGCTGTCAAAGTGCAGGAGAGTCAGGAACACATGGGCAGCATGAGCACGGAACCGATCAATCTTCTCACTTGCCTGCTGGGCGACGCAACACATGATGCGCTCGCAGCTGCAAACCAAGGGCACAGGTATTAGGCCAGCCTGAGGATGTGTGGGCGTCTCACTGTCGGCAGCTGCTTAAGCCACCTCAGGATGGGCGTGACAGTGTCCTGCCTATCACATCTTAAGAAACACAGAGTAGGTGCATGCGAATGCTGACGTTCTCTTGGGGCAAGAGGAGTAGGAACCAACAGTAGACAAGTGGGCAAAGAGCAGGAAGGAGGGAGGGAGGGAGCAGCCAGGCTGAGAAAGGGCAGGCACAGAGCCAGCAGGACCCAAGGCCTCAACAGGGTGACAGAGGGGGCCAAGACCACAGCAAGGAGCCAGTATCCACAGTCTATGGCAGCTCAGGATAGAGGTCAGAGAAGCTGGTCTGAGAAGGCGTGGAGGCCCCAGGACTACTCCAGATGGCCTCCTGAGAGACTCACATATGGGCCTCGATCAGCATTGGCTCTGTCCGTGCCAGCAGCAGTGTCAAGTCCATCAGACTGGTCATGGCAGCCTCACGGACCCTGTGGACAAGGCGACGCAGGAAAGTCAATCTAGGATAGAGATGCCCAGCCCTGGTTCCACCAACCACACCCACTGGGTCTTGTAAGAAGTCTTTGCATGCCCATGTGGGAAAAATGGTTCCAAGATACCCACTGACCCACACAGGCTTGGCTCCAAGAGGCCCAAACATAGGGCAAGTTTCAGAGATTACAGAAATCCCACTTCAGTGGAAACAGTCAGTAAAACCCAACACTAGCAGCTGGCAGCTTCACCAAATCCCATGTTTAATACCTGAAGAGAGACTGGACGAGTCCCAGCAAAGCCCGTGACACATGTGCACACACCATCTCAGACTGTAATTCCCACAGCCCCCTCCATGCAAAGCCTGCCTCCTGCAGTGTCTCCCTGTAGTAGGCTGGAGCTTCCTGGTTCTCACTGAACACGCTCACAGAAAGAAACTGACAGTCATAGCCTTCCCAGACCTTTCCTGATAAACATAGATGACCTTAGTTCATAGCAAAGAAAAAAATACTGGTCTAACTCCAGGGCAAAGGCAGCCTTTTAAACTTGGGATACAGGCACATTCAGCAGGGTCAGGAAACCGAAGTCAGAAAGCTGCAGACCTGGGATCCCTATCCCGCTGAAGCTTTGTACAGATCCTGTACCGGGTTCCCACTGTGAGGCCATACAGGCCCTGCCAAGAGGAAACTCAGACACAAGCAGAGGTCAGGGCTCCAGGGGGCTCTCATAGCCACGAGGGTTGTAGACACAAAGCGTGGGGTCATGGGTGCACATGGGACAAGGGACACAGGGGTGGTAGTCTGCAAAGTAGGCTGAGGGATAGAGGGGCGCACATTTATGAAGTATGCCAAAGGAAATGGGCTGTACATCTGCAAAAAGTGCCAGAAATATGGGTGTATGTGTGCAAAGTGTGCTGAGGGACACGGGCATGCTGTCAACAGGCCAAGAGACACGAGGGACTCTGCAAGAACCAGGGTTCAGGAGTATATGACTGCAAAGCTCAGTTGGACACTGCCCTCATGCTGCCTGCCCCTGTGAGCTGTGATACACAGGGTGAGCTACAGAAAACATGGCAGAAAGCAACCGCAGGGAGAAACGGACTGAGCACACAGACAGGAGGAGATACCGGGCCCTGACCCCAGAGGACCCCCGTAATAGCCACACCCCTAAACCCAACATGCCCAGCAGTCTTGAGCTGAGTCTTGGGAGCCAGGGGCATGGAATGCAGCCATTGTCCCAGAGCCGAGGCCACCACCACCAGGTCTATACAGATCCGGCACTGCTCTCTGGGAAGCCTCTCTGCTCTCTGCGACTTGGTCAATTCTGGTCCTATCTGGCTGGCCACTGACATCGCCTAATAGAAGAAAACCGCAAAAGTGCAAAGCCCTGCAATTCAACTATAACTTAGGAGAGCCAATTAAAAACTGTCACAAATGCCTAAAACATAACAAATACAAAATAATACAAAGAAAAACAACAGAAATAAACCCATCAATGAGATAGCAGCAAATGTGAAGAGTTCTTACAATAACTGTATCTGAAGAAAATAGATTAAGGTAAGTGTAAAGAGAATTCCAAAGAAAACTGACACCTCTGAGACAGGCCTGGGGCACCCCTGAATTATAAAGCAGGGTTTAAAGATGAGCCCTGACTGCAGGTGATTCTGCACCGACCCACGGGAGCAGAATCCTGGCGGCCCATCCTCTGCAGATCCAGCTAAGACAGGACACTACAAGGGGCAGAGCCAAGGCCTGGGCCCTGGACAAGGCGCCATGCTTTCTGTGCTGCTCTGAGGGCAGCCTCAGTGGTCAGGCAGATGGCAAAGAAACTCACTACTGTATAGCTATTTACTCCAAATTGAAATTGCTTTTGGAGGGAGGAGGGAGGCTCATAAGACTCAGAAAGCTATCAAAACTTAGAAGGCTCAAGAAAATAATGAAACAAAGCTCAGAACATTACAAGATTCGCAGCCCCACCCCCCCACCCCCACCATCCCAGGTTAGAAAAGCAGTAAAAATTTCTGGGAAAAGAGTCTCCAGCAGGCAGAAGGTTCCAAGGATGCAGGTCTCTGAGTTGTCACTTCTACTGGGGTGGGCTTTCCAGTGATACAGCTGCCTCTGAGTCAGCTCTGCTCCTATAAGTGACCCCAACAAACTTACTGGTTCTCTAAGCTAGACTTGGGTGGAGCTGTTTCTTTGGTCTGCAGTCCTTGTCCTACTTGGGTTTGTTCACATCTCCCAAGGAACAGACAGCACAACCGGTTTTCTATTTTGAACTGCAAGGAAGCCAGATCAACCAGGTCGTTAGAGTGAAGAGAAGGATGCCCAGGACCTGCCCACATCTATCACAGGCCAGTTACTAGCCTCAGCTCAGGCCACTGCCTGCTGTGATGCCTGTGATACAGGTCTGCACAACTAAACAAGGTCCAGGGCACCCCAGCACCACACTGACATGCCAGGACCAAGAAAATAGATCCTTCTCAAGTGACACAGCTAAGCCCAGAGATCCCTGGCAAGACAAAATGGCTGCTGTCTGAGCCAGTGAGCCCGAGGTCACATCAAAGGAGCCACACCTCATGAACACTGTGCTATAGGGCACTACAGGAAAGTAGTCAAGTGGGGAAGTCTGCAGCTGTGCCAGGGGAGAGGCAAAGTAGGAAACAGCCACATCAACGCCTCTATTCTTCTAGGCTCTAACGAGACAGGTCAGCCGTAGGGAGACCTGCCTGTGTCCACATGGACACATATAGACAACTCTGTCCAGAACAGTCCGATGGCCCTGAAGGGAGTGGGTGATCTTTTGCCCAAGGAGGAGGGAGATGTTCCCAGAGAAGGAGAATACAGGGAATGCCAGCAAAGAAACTGTGACGACCCAGCGCAAACTCAATGATCAGTACAGCACGGAACTGAAATGTTTATTACGTGAACTTAACAGGAGAAACGGAAAAACATCAGTGAGCAGAGCACAGGTTAACAGAATTCATACATCCAACAACAAAGGGACCTTCAGGACCTCTCTGGCATGTGGCAAGTTCCTAGAGCCCCAGAATCCAAGGACATGGGGGAATCTGCAGTGATCTGTAAAAGGGTGACCAGCTGGGCAACAAGATCAAAGAAAAGAAAACTGGCTGGGTACCCCAAACGAGAGGAAGGGAAGATGGTAGGCAGGAAAAGCACGCTTAAAAAAAATAATGGAAGCCAGACATGATAGCCCACGCCTTTAACCCCAGCACTTGGGAGGCAGAGGCAGGTGGATCTCTGTGAGTTCAAGGCCAGCCTGGTCTACATAGCGAGTTCCAAGACAGCTGGGGCTACAGGGAGACCCTGTCTCAAAAAGACAAAAAAACAAACAAACAAAGGAGTTCTATTCAGCAGTAAAGAAAGATGAAATCATGAAATTTGCATGTAAATGGATGGATCTAGAAACTGTTATACTAAGAGAAGTTAACACAGACTCAGAAAAACAAACGACGTGTGTTCTCCCTCATATGTGGCTCCTAGCACCAAATCCTTTTAAATTCCAAGTCCTTTTAGTAAGATGATGCTGTACAGCAGTCTCTACTGCATGAAATAACTACCTTCATCACGACTTCAGCTGTGCCTGATCACTAAACATCGTCACAGTTGGGCTTGTTGATGGTTATACTCATTCATTAAAGGAGCAGGCACCCCTGGACTGCCAGGCACCACTGGAATGCCACTCTTCCCAGCCAGCTGTATGTAATTTAGCCCTAATCATACACAGTCTCCTGGATTTGGGGAGGGCTAAAGCATACAATCTGGGGAAGGCTAGGAAGAGTAGGCATGACCCATCCTTGGTAAGGCATAACCTCAGGTCATACATACACCTCAGCAACCCCTCAGTTATCTTTGTAAGTAAGCTCACTAAATTCATTGGTTCCCCAGTAAAACCTTAATCAAACATTGGTTTGACACTAGAACCTTAAAAGGGAATAAGCATTGCTTAGTATCCCCAGGAAAAGAATTCTCGCAACAGATGGAAATTTTATTTGCTAATGCTATTATGTCTCATAATTATTAAAAAAAAAAAAAAAGGAAAATGAGAATGTAGATGTTAAAAGAATATAGGAATGGAGATATTTTCCAAAATAGAAAAAATGAGAAAGCCTAAGCAAGTGATGAAGGTCTGTGTAGGTTTGTTATGACACATAAAGGACAAGACAAAAATAATAGACACATAATCTTAAAATTTCTAAGGTCATAGTTTAGTCAACTAGTTTAAGAAACAAAATATATATCTAGCCAAGATTTATCTGAGAAGACCTGGTTTTTTATCTAAGCTTTATCTATATAGCACATGGTAATTAAAAGTACCAGACTGGTGGAACTAAACTTCTTGGATGTTCAACAGCCATACTTTGAGGCCTATACTAATCTGGTCAGAGGGACAGAAAGGACAGTTTTTGCCCCTTGCCCTCCAAGGTCGACTAAGTTCCAGGGGATTATGGAACATTTCTTAAAATGTCCTGTAACTGTGGTGAGTCACCTGTCCTCTGCCACGGAGACCCCCACCAGATGGACTTGAACCAGTGTCCAGTCTACAAAGAGGAGGGTCAACTCAGAGGAAACATCTCATCCATGCTTCCAAGTGAAGCCAGCCATGGTCGAGCAGGACCTTTGACTTATCTTCACATAGATGGAACTGTTGTAAAAGAAAGGAGCCAGGAGCTCCTCCCAAGCCCATGTGACCCCTGAGGAAAAGATCCTCAAATGACTTTAAGTGTAAAAATAAATTGATTTATTTGGGCCAACTGTATGGTCTTAAACACCCACAAGGAAAGTATAACCAAAGATTAAAGGGGCCAATATAATTCTTTAAGAGTCCATATGTATAGGGCTTAAGTCCATATAAAAAGTTTAGACAATTATTTCTCATTGGTGATTTTGTTCCTAACCAGAAAGTGCTGCTCAGATGTAAGACTTCAAATCTTGGTCTGTAGTGCCCACCTGTAGCTAAGGGAGACAACCCACTATTGTTCTAAAATGTTGGATAAATTTGTTTTCTCCCCTATCTAGAAGCCTTTGAGAGGGAACTGACAGATTCTAACCACTCCAACAGCTACCAAAATGCCTAAAAGCAAATCCTGAATCCATCAATCTTGAGACCAGCCTTGGCAGACAAAAGAAAAATGAGGAGGAACCCAATAGAGGGATGCTTTTGGAAGCTCTCATGAAGAAATTCCAATGGACTCTGATATGAACATTTGAAATTTGCCCAGTTCTGACATTTTTCTGGTTCTCTGTCTAGAACTTATAATGCTAACTACTCTTACCTTTACTTCTCCTTCACATCCCCTATTCATCAGTTAAGGACTTTCTTTTCTCCCTACACATAAGAGTTATGCAATCTGGGAGTCTTTTAGCTAGACCCACTGAAGGGGTACCCCAAATGCCTCACATTGAGTCCCGGTTCAGCATGGAAGAAGCCAGAGCGGTCTGCAATTTGGGTAACCTCTTCAGAGGATGGTGTGATAAGAACAGGAGGTAGGAACTGGCTAGGCAGTTAGGGTAAAAAGACCCCCCCAAAAAAGTAGCCAGTTTCTTGGCTAAAAGTCAAAATGTCCTTGGGCCTCTTAGCAACACTCGGTTCCAAAGGCCAAAAATGACAAAAGTATTTGGGAACTTGTATCTAATCCCTAAAAGATTTTTTACCTCTTCAAAAGGGTAATGTAGCAAAAAGCCCCATTCTAAAAAAGAAGGAAGGAAGGGAGGGA